CCCAGGCAGGCTACGGACCTTTCGTTGCCGGAGCCACCAGTCCCCAGCCCACATAATCCGTTTTCTCTTCCAGCCCCGCCTTGCGCCGTGCCGTGGGAGAGGGGGGGGAACCGGGGGAGGGCCGGGGCTGCGGTGGAGAGGGATAGTTCGCGATGCGCTGCTAGATGGGGTTCTGGTGCCAACGCCGTATCCGGTTTTAATCGACGGCCAGGGTGCGCGTGCCTGGGAGGCATTAGACTGGAAAATCCTAAAAGAGGTGAAGAATTCGGTTGCGCAGTATAGGTTGAAATCACCATACACGCAGTCGCTTCTCCAACATATTTTTTCTGCTATGCTATTAATGCCGCATGATACTCGTATGATAATGCAAATACTCTTGTCCCCGTCCCAACAGTTGCAATTTTTCCAGCACTGGCAACAAGGTTGTGATAGAGCAGCTGCAACACCTAGGCAGCAGGGGGACCCGCTGCACGGGGTTCAGGCTCAGATGCTGTTGGGAGCGGGTCCTTTTATAAGGGTGGATTGGCAAGCGCAGTTTGCGACGGAGGTTTTGCAGTTAAGCCAGTATTTAGCATTCAAGGCATTGGCCGCAGTGCATGATGATAAAATATCGCCTGCGTTCACCACGGTGAAGCAAGGGCCTGGGGAGTCGTTTGCAAAGTTCATCGATCGTCTGCACGGGGCTATTATGGCACATCCAGATATGACTGAGGACATGAAAGCGAAGTTTTTGGACTTCCTAGCTTTTGAGAATGCCAACGATAAAACCAAAAGAGCTCTCAGTTTGTTGCCTCGAGGGGCAAACACTGGGGCCCTACTGGAAGCTGCTGACCATATGTTAGAACAAGAAAAGGCTACAGTGGTGGCAGCTGCAGTTGGGGCGGCGGTCCGAACTTTGGTTGCCAATCAAAAAAAAGAAAAAAAAGACCAGAATTGTTTTAGTTGTGGAAAAAGGGGTCACTATCAGAGGGAATGTGGAGTTAAAGGCCCGAATAGCTGAGGGGGAAGAAAGTGGTGCGCGAGCTGTAAGAGGGAGAACCACAATACCGGTGAATGCAGAAAATCGGGAAACAGATTAGTGAGCGCAGGGCATCCTCGCGCGACGACACAAGTGCAGGGTGCTGGGACAGCTGCGCCGCCGCCACAGCCAGCAGCGCAGGGGTGGATGTGGCCACAGCAGTAGAGTTCACGTTGCTTACTCAAGAGGTTAGAACAGTTGATTCGAATTTACAAGGTCCTTTAGGACGAGGTTTAAGTGCCTTGCTTTTAGGATGATCTTCGACGTCTAGACGAGGTGTTTTTGTAGTCCCAGGGTTAATAGATGCGGATTATCGGAGAATCATACAAATAATAGTTTATACTTTGACCCCACCAGTCAGTATTCCCAAAGACTCAAAAATTGCCCAACTAATACCTTTTAAAGCATGTGTCCCGAGAGCAGAAACAAGAGTGAGAGGTGCCGGAACTTTTGGTTCCACTGGAGAGGCAGAAGTGATGTTAGCCTTGGACATAGAGAAGGGGAAACCACAGGATTATGTATGTATATCCCATCCGACAGGAGGTTCCATGCAGCTGAAAATGCTGGTGGACACAGGAGCCGATGTAACCATTGTGCCAAGGAGTTTGTGGCCTAGAAGATGGCCAACTATCCCGGCTAGTACAGCTGTGGTAGGAGTAGGAGGATCTCAACAAACACTTATTAGTAAAACGCCTGTGATGATTGAATTTAAGGATGGTAATAGTGTGACCACTCGACCTTATGTAATGACCATACCAATTACCCTGTTGGGAAGAGATGTATTGTCACAGATGGGAGTAAAACTTGTCACTCATGATTTTTAGGAGTGGCCATTGTGCAGCAGCCAACCATTAAGCTCACCTGGACCACTACAACACCGGTATGGGTGGACCAATGGCCGCTGAAGCAAGACAGGCTGCACATCATTAATGACTTAATTGATCAACAACTGAAAGCAGGCCACAAATCCATGGAACACTCCCATTTTTACGATTCAGAAAAAATCAGGAAAATGGAGACTGCTGCACGATTTGTGAGCAGTCAATGAGGTAATGCAAGACATGGGAGCCCTACAACCGGGGCTGCCATCTCCAGTTATGATTCCAGAAAATTGGAAATTGTTAATTATCAATCTAAAAGATGGCTTTTTTACCATACCCTTGCATCCAGATGATGCTGAAAAGTTTGCGTTTACCATACCCGAGGTAAATAAGGGGGGACCAGCGAGAAGATACCATTGGGTGGTCCTGCCACAAGACATGAAAAATTCGCCTACCATATGCCAAATATTTGTTGCTTGGGCTTTGCAGCCATTTAGAACAAAACACAAGAACCTATCAGTTTACCACTACATGGACGACATATTGATTGCAGAGGAAAAAGTAGAGTTGGAGCTCATATTACGGAAACTCCAACGGGAGCTTAACCTCAGGGGGTTGAAGATAGCGCCCGAAAATGTTCAGAAGAGGGGGCCATGGTTGTATGTGGGCTGAATCATCACAGGAGGGGCTGTGCAGCCACAGAAGGTAGAACTAAACACAAAAATAAAGACCTTAACAAATGTACAGAAACTCTTAGAGGACATTCAATGGGTTAGAGCAGTCTGTGAGATCACAAATGATGACCTGGCACCATTGATGCCATTATTAGGAACATCAAGTCAAGCAGGGGGGCGTAGGCATTTGTCAAAAAATCAGAAAGAAACATTGCAGCACATCATCCAGAAAATACAAAAAAGTATAGCCGCCAGGAAACTCTTAGACTGTCTCTTGCAGTTAATGATTATAAATTCATCACTGCGCTGCAGATACCCGTTAAGCCTCATTGTTCAACAGGAAGAACAGGGAGTTCGAATCTTGGAGTGGTTATTTACATCATTTAACCTGAAAACGACGGTCTGCACTCGAGTGGAATTGTTGGCGAACCTGATGATAAAAGGCCGACAAAGAATCATTGATCTGTCGGGTCTGGAGCCAACAGTAATATACTTGCCTATAGTCCAAAGTTACTGGCAATGGCTGGTGACCACCACCGACCTAGTACAGATAGCAATTGCAGGTTTTCCAGGAAAAATTTCTAATCATTACCTCTCTGAAAAATGGTAACCCCTGCTTCAGGCGCAGAAATTTGAAGAAAAACCCAGTAGATCAGAGACACGAGTGCAAGGCATAACAGTATTTACAGATGACGGAAGAAAATCAAAAAGGGGGGCGGTCACGTGGAATTTAACAGGTCAGTGGTAGTATCACGTTTTGCAGGGTCAGGACAGTGATTCGCTACAAACTCTTGAATTAAAAGCAGTAGTGTGGGCATTTCATCACTGGCAAAATGAACCTCTTAATGTTGTGGTGAGGCAGATGAAGAAAAATACTCTGTATGTCTTGCTATTACAATTGTCTCATCTCTTAGGCCAACGGCAACATCCTTACTTTATTACCCACATTCGCAGCCATCAATTTAGTCAGGGTTTGGCAATAGGCAACAATGCCGCAGACTGGTTGGTAAGTGTAGCTCAACTGGGAGCAGTAAACCTGTTTGAGCAAGCCTGTCTGTCTCACGATTTTTTCCACCAATCGGCAAAAATGCTTGCAAAACAGTTTAGTATCTCGGTGGGAGACGCAAGGAGGATTGTGCAATCCTGCCCAGCCTGTCAGAAGGTGGGTTTTGGATTGGGATTGGGTGTTAACCCACGAGGTTTGAAGGCACTGCAGGTATGGCAGATGGATGTTACTCACATCCCCGAATTTGGTCGACTCAAGTATGTTCATGTATCCATCAATACCTTTTCACATACAATGTGGGCAACAGCTCAGACAGGGGAAACTGCTAAACATGCAATTAAACATATACATGTTGCCATTTCTGTGTTGGGAATTGCACAAGAGTTAAAGACGGACAATGGACCAGCTTATACATCTAAAACATTTGCGTGGTTTTGTCACATGTGGGGCGTTCGCCGCATTACCGGTATTCTGCACTCATCCACAGGTCAAGCTATAGTCGAGCGGGCTCACGGGATCCTAAAATCGCTTTTGAAAAAGCAAAAAGGGAAAACTTGGGAGAGCCCGACGGAGTGTGTTGCAAAAGCGCTGTATGTGCTGAACTATTTACACCTCACAGAAAATAGGGGATCTCCCCCTGTAGTGGTACATCAGTTGTCCTTACAACCAGAAGTGCAGGGGTCAACGCCTGCAAAAATCTTGTATCATGACTTAACTTCAGGAGAATGAAAGGGACCAGTAGAGGTGAAATTGACTGGCAAAGGTTATGTTTGTGTCTTGACAGAAGCAGAACCTCGATGGGAGCCAGCAATGTGGGTTAAGCCATGGTTGAATGACTTTGGAGGAAGCGACGCCGAATCTACAATGGTTTCAAAAGCGGCTGACCAACAAACTGAAGCCATGGCTGACTGCACTTCACCCACTGAAACATCTTAATTTTATCTTCGTACAGGAAGCAAACCTGAGGGGTTCGCAGTAGTTATTTGGGAATTCGCAAATCCGAATCCCTGTGTGAGCTATCTGGCGAGGATAGCAGTTGCACAGCTTGACATGTGGGGTGAGGTGTCGGCCATAGGTAAAACTGCTCTGTAGCTCATATAAAAGGGGAGAGATGGAGAGTTTCGAGAAAGGGGAGATGATTCTAATCATTGGTCGTACCCACGGAGCCGATTGCAGGTGAATCTGTTCACTCATTCCCAGTGGGCAAAACAATTCCTGCAATGCTTATTAGGCGCCCAGGGCAGTGTTTTTAACCTCAATGCAAAGATTTGTGTTGGGGCACAAGCGACTACTTGTAAAATTTGTAGCGTTAATTGAAAGTTAAGAAACAAAGGTTATTATTTTTATGCTTTATAAGGTAGTTAAGCTTTGTAACCACTGTTACTTTATTCTTAATAATCAAGTTGTAGGTAAGCAGCGTGAAGGGATCATTTTTTCTGATACGAGATCGTGGTGTGTATGACCTGAAGAATGGGAGAAAGAAGCGAGGGCAACGGAGTTGCAGAAGGATGCCTCCAGAGTGATAATAGGATTGATAAGTGCCTTATTGGGATTAATGAGGCCTCACGAAGTAGAGGAGATGCACAAGATTAACCCTAGGTCCAATATGTGGTTAACCTTTGTGAATCGGACCAATCAAACATCATTTTGTATTTCTATGCAATCAATAACTGATCCTTTTAGAACATGCCTAATTGGAACGCCGTATTGGGACCCAAACGATTGGAAAGGTTTGGTTTCAAATGAGACCATTCTACGGGAGGGAGTGGTGAATGCCAGCTGCTCTCGACTAGAAATATATCACGGACCTCAGCAACAAAAGCTGCCTGGCGGAGGCTATGCGGCCGCTCTTGTGATTAATGCCTTATATGTTTCCCTACCATGGGGTCCACAGGAGATAGATCTCCTTGGATCCATGTTTGGGAATGAATCTTGCTTCCACTTTGCTGGAGGCACTTTTAAGGAAACTAGCCATTATCGTAGGTTTGATTGGATAAAGTGGACCAATGTAACCTGTCGACAAATACAATTAAGTAAGAAAAATATATCAAAACCAACTTACAATTACAAAAACAAGGATGACTATTGCAATGGGTCAGCAGGAGCAGGGATAAAGAATCCGAAAATAAGTGTTTGGGTAAACAATTCAGCTAAAACCATTCCCCCAAGGTATTTTTTGATCTACGGAGACAGAGCATAACAAAGCATTCCAAAACAAGCCATAGGGGGGCCGTGTTATTTTGGGAAATTATGTTTGCCCCACCTATGAGTATCCTGAAAAATCATACAAGGGCAAAACAAACGCTTAGAAAATTAACACCACAGTGTGATGGGAACTTAATCACTCTATGACAGAGCAGGAAAAGTGACATTGTCACTGTTGTTACCTTGGGGAGCTGCTTCAAAATCTTTAATGGATATAGGGAGGCTAGCGTGTTTGGTACCTAAGAAAATAAATACAACATCAAAAATGATATCAGAGTTAACTCAAGATATGGATAGTGTTTGTCATGCAGTATTACAAAATAAAACAGCAATCGATTTTCTGCTTTTAGCACATGGTCATGAGTGTAAAGATTTAGATAGAATGTGTTACATAAATCTGTCAGACCACTCAAAATCAATCCACAAACAATTATATCAATTACAACAAAATCTGAACGCCATTAAAGTAGAGTCAGGGTTGACAAACTGGCTTAATCACCTAAGCTTCTGTGGGTGATTGGCGGATCTGGTCAAACAGGGAATAGCGAAGCTGGTTACAATTCTGATCATGCTATGCATTTTTGAATGTTTAATAAGTTGTGCCATAAAGGCGGTTAAGAAGACGTTTAACAGTATCTGGGTTGCTCAAAAACAAAAAGGGGGATTTGTGGCATTTCTGGAAGAAGGAAAAAAGAGGGACATATTGTGAGCACCCCAGACACTCTGAATATGGACTTCATCAGTTTGTAACAGCACAAGCTTCAAGCAGCACAGGCCTCAAGGCCACTCTCAGGCCGGCTGTGGGAAAAAAGGCATTCCCAGGCTGGCTGTGGGAAAGACAGTCGTTCTCAGGCCAGCTGCAGGTAAACAGTCGTTCTATGAATAATGACGAATCACAGTTGAATACTGCTCATGTAACCCGGGTGTTTTATTGATAGATGTTTTAGGCATAGTGACCAATCATAGCTGAGTGCTGTATAGAGGGTTTATGCATAGTGACTAATCATAACCGAGTGCTGTCTATATAATCCAGATTCTCTGCTAATAAAGTTGACTGTTATGGATCATATTGGTCAAGTCCTTAAGCCCGCGCCACAACTTCAGGCTGCCCAACAGTGGCTGAATTGGTTTTAACTCATCCATTTTAAACTCTAGTCTGGACTAATGCATCAGGGCTCTGTGTGCACCAACTGGCGCAGCCACCTTTTCCCTCTTCTCGGGGTCTGGTTGCCTGTTCTCTCTCACTGGGTGGTATCAGATAAGGCCCAGTCGGGGGGACCCTCAGATCCTGGACAAGACCAGGACCCTGACTCTCTTGAGGACCAGCTTCCTCCAGGACATATATGAAATCTTTTGTGTCCCCCTTCAACAGACCCTGCCTCTGGGAACAGTCGTCTCAACAGCTTGTGAGCTGCCACTGTCTACAACCTGGTGTTTACGATGAGCCAGCGACATTTTTGCTTTTATTTAACATGCTTTTCTGTGGTTTATTCTAGTTCAGTATTGGCAATGCGAGTAGCTGAGACTCCCACAGGAGTAGTTAGGGGTGGGCAGAGAGACCTCTCCAGTTCACCCAAGACAGCCCTTTCCAGCACCAGAGCTCTTGGTCCACAGGTGTAGGGTGGTCTGCTGGGATCTCTTGAGGGTCAAGTTCCGTGCTATTGATGTAGATGTTACTAAGCAATTCATGAATAACTTGCCATAAATGAACGACAGAAAATTCACTCTGGACGGTCTGAAAAATCTGTTAATAATAATGTCTCAGTTTAGCATTAACATTTGCAGCA